ACAACATCAATGAAAATTCAACAAAATGAATATTTAGGATCGATTCAACACATCAAAAATCAAGAATTCAAATGAAAATAATAAATGAAACAAAAAATCCACACAGTTGTCAAGCACAGTTGTCTGCTCATTAAAACCAATAACCCCAACCAGATCCGACGAATTCAACGTCGCAACTTCATTTGTTGATGTATTAATTATATGGTTATAGAAAAGTGTGGCTCTGTATAAAATAGTCAAAGATTGTCGAGGGTGTTGCATTTCAGGCCGGAAAACGTGTTTTCCTGTGGGTATGTTCCAAAATCAAAAAATCTCCAGAATTGTTTTCTTCAAGTTTGCAATTTTGGAGATGGGTTTATCCATAAATCAAACAAAATACTCATAGAAGAAGAGATAGAGAGGTGCAAAGCGTGATTACCTGATTGAAGGAGATGGAGGAGAAACCCTAGAAGAAAAACAATCGACCGGCTTGTGAGAAATATCTCGTTGGATGAGAGATTTTTGTTGTGAGAATTCTATGGACGTTCTTTACCAAAAGTCTCTGAAAGTCTACGAAAATATAAATTCCCCGAAAGTCTTTCTTAATTGAATACCCGAAACTTGTAGAGACTCTTATAAAGTTTTAATTGAATACCTCGAAACTTATAGAGACTTTTTAAAAGTCTCTATTGAATACACCCAAACTTTTAGAGAGTCTTTAAAAGTCTCAGTTGAATACACCGAAACTTTTTAAATCTCCCAAAGTCTTTAAAAGTCACAATTGAATACAACCCCCTTAATTGTCTTGCAACATTGAAGGTGAGTAGCCTATACCTACTTTTATTCCAAACATATTTATTTCAATTATGTTTATTGGATTACTTCTTGCTTTTCAAATCAATTATATATCCAAGATTCTACCCATTGATATTGATATTGGATATTGGCATTGCATTGGATAGTGATTGATATTATTGTTTTTACACCAAATTGGTGTAATTGAGTATTCCATGTATTGTTATTTTCATATTGCACGCACGGGTAAGAACCAACAGCTATAATCGGGGCCCATAGACCATAATTTTCACAATCCCAATTTACTGATTTAATTCTATGTAAAAAGATTTCAAAATTTTGTATACTTCGTGAAGAGTGAAAACTTTTGGCAATTTGTAGAGTATGGAGTAGGCAAGCATCAATAAACATAAGATAATTAAAAATTTTCTTATATACTTGGTTACATTGCAAAAAATATATTAGAGACTAGTAGATATACAAAAGTTCTCCTACCAAAAGTGGCACTATGCAAAAGTCGCCCTAAGCACCATATCTTACTACGATAACTAACCAATTTGCACCAAAATTTATACATCAAAGACCACCCGGACATATTATTTCTCCAGGAAAACTATCCGAAAATAAGTATATTATATGGTGGCTTCAAAGTAGTTGATGTGGTAGTGGATTCCTACAAAGTTGTTAAAGCCCGGAAAATCTGGATATATTATCCACATGTGGATTTCTTTGACAAACATGCAATTTTGCCATCTTCTGAAATCACCCATTCTCCAGAGGTAAAGTCAATGTATTCGACCGTGATCATCTACAATAAAAAAAATAACGTGAATATATTTATTCGACGAGTAATCTATACCATAATCTTTCTTTAATTTGAATAAGTAAGGAAAACAATGGGCCCCAATTATAGATATTGATTCTTACCCGTGCGCGCAATATGAAAATAACAATACATGAGCTCAATAATCAATTACACCAATTTGGTGTAAAAACAATAATATCAATCACTATCCAATGCAATGCCAATATCCAATGTCAATATCAATGGGTAGAATCTTGGATCTATAATTGATTTGAAAAGTAAGAAGTAATCCAATAAAAATAATTGAAATAAATATGTTTGAAATAAAAGTAAGTATAGACTACTCACCTTCAATGTTGCAAGACAATTAAAGTGCTGCATTTGTAAAGTTACTTGACTTTTGTTTTATTGTATGCATTTTCCTTTCTCACCCTATCCCCTATTTATAGTAGTAATTTAGAATTAAATTAGCAATTAATTTATTTTTCTATAATCATTATTTTGCCACACTTTACCTTATCATGCCATTTGGCTTTGTAGTATTTAAAGTGGCAAAATGATAAGTGTAGGGTAGCCACTTTATCCTAACCCTACCATACCATGTGTCATCTTAATGTCTAGAGTGACAAGGTAATTAATGAAAGGTAGCCACTTTATATCTTCAATTTTACCACATGGTTTTTAAACCAAAATTTTAATTCAATTCTTTTCATAAGGTCATAATATAATTAACAAACTTATCTCCTATCAAGGGTTTACTAAGATTTGGGAAAAAAGGGAATGTGAGTAGTCTATACCTACTTTTATTCCAAACTTATTTATTTCAATTATGTTTATTGGATTACTTCTTGCTTTTCAAATCAATTATAGATCCAAGATTCTACCCATTGATATTGACATTGGATATTGGCATTGCATTGGATAGTGATTGATATTATTGTTTTTACACCAAATTGGTGTAATTGATTATTGAGCTCATGTATTGTTATTTTCATATTGCGCTCACGGGTAAGAATCAACATCTATAATTGGGGCCCATTGTTTTCTTTACTTATTCAAATTAAAGAAAGATTATGGTATAGATTACTCGCTGAATAAATATATTCACGTTATTTTTTTTATTTTTATTGTAGATGATCACGGTTGAATACATTGACTTTACCTCTGGAGAATGGGCGATTTCAGAAGATGGCAAATATTGCATCTTTGTCAAAGAAATTCACACGTGGATGACATATCCAGATTTTCCAGGCTTTAACAACTTTGTAGGAGTCCGCTACCACATCGACTACTTTGAAGCCACCACTATGATATACTTATTTTCGGATAGTTTTCTTGGAGAAATAATGTGTCCGGGTGGCCTTTGATTTATAAATTTTGGTACAAATCGATTAGTTATCGTAGTAAGACATGGTGCTTAGGGCGACTTTTGCATAGTGCCACTTTTGGTAGGAGAACTTTTGTAATACAACTTTTGTATATCTACTAGTCTCTAATAAACTTTTTGCAGTGTAACCAAGTATATAAGAAAATATTTAATTATCTTATATTTATTGATGCTTGCCTACTCCATACTCTACAAATTGCCAAAAGTTTTCCCTCTTCACAAAGTATACAAAATTTTGAAATCTTTTTACATAGAATTAAATGAGTAAATTGGGATTGTGTGGAACTCCATTTGGAAGTGATATGTTGAGAAACTCTGGTTGATAGTAATTATTTGTGTCATCAATTGCCATATCATAACTGAGGAACTCTTTAGTTTCACCTGGAAAAAGATCAATCATTTTTTTGTTTATGAGATCAACGTTTTCATTTGTAGTTGATAGAATCGCTCTTTATGTCATATATTCCGATGATTCAACATTATTTGGTAGGTCTGAGAAGACAAAGTTGATTAAATTGAGCTCTGGAGAGTTGTTGTTGTCGGAGGAAAGTACTATGTCTTTTAGAAGTGAGATGAAGTCTTCTCCTGCAGCTCGTTCTGTTCCATTGCCGATTTTGATCAAGTATTCCACGAATTGATGACCATTTTGCGCTTTCATATTCTGTGTCAAATGTAGTTTATGCATTTTTTCCCAAAGATATGATCGTACTAAACTTTCATTAACTATTTGTTGTCTTGTTGCTCGAGGGACAACTGGAAGAACCTGGCGAAAATCTCCCCCAAATACCATTACTTTACTCTCAAACGCTTCAAAGTTGTTCATGATGTCTTGAAAAGTCCTATCGACTGCCTCAATGTTTGCTCTCTTTGCCATTGGAGCTTCATCCCATATAATGAGTGCTTCTTGTTGTATAAGTTCGGCTCGACTGCTTTACTTTAATATATGACATATCGATGATTCATTTGTTTGCAACGGAATGTTGAATTTGGAATGAGCTGTTCGCCCTCTAGGGAGTATTGAAGTAGCTACTCCAAAAGTTGCAGTTGCAAGTGCTATCATACCCCGCTTATTTCAGCAAGTAATGCGCGATATAGAAATGTTTTACCGGTTCCACCTGGTCCATCAACAAAGAAAATCCCAACTTTTTTATTGTTTACTTTATCAAGTATGAGATCATATGATTGTCTTTGATCATGATTTAGATAATGTGATGCTTTTGTATCTTCAATTGGTGTTTCAATTGATAATTCATCTAACATGTCCTTTGTACTGAGAGAATGCGTATCTGTGGGGACATTTGTTAGTTGAGGCAAGTCATAGGCATCGATGCTTGTTCCCATGGATTGAAGGAATGATTGAATATCATGAAGTGTATACTGAAACTGTATTTGTGATGAGTCTTAATCTTGTTTTTTGAAATCTTCAGACATATGTTCGAAGTAAAGATCCCATAAATTTCTAACATTAGTAGGTTCACAATAAATCAACAGTGTAGCAAAGAGTCTTCTAAATGCTCGAGGCATGTCGAAAGCGGCTGCTTCATCTAAGCATTCAATGATACTTCGATCGGACTCAAGAAGCCCTCTTTTTTGGGCCGCTTCTCTAAAAATCCAAAATTGACTCCCATTAACATTCATGAGATCCTTAAAAGACTTTGGTCTCCTTACATGATTTAGTAATAAACGAAGATAATATCTTTGCCCCTCAGCTGGATTTGCTCCTGCAATGCGTGATATCACTTCTCCTTTTTTCCTTTTTGTCCATACACGGGCTTGCCTATTCCATACGTAGTGTTCTGGAAATTCTCGATATAAGAACCTCCCTGCATCTTCGTTGTTGTTACACATTTTGAATTATTCAGTCAACATCGTCCTTGAGATGTGATCAAATTGAATAACTCTGTTCAGATCTTGGTTTTCCCAATAAGATACCGTTTGTTAATTAGGGAGGTGAAGTTGTAAGTTGATGACAGTGGGTGATATTTCATTCAATTGGAATTCATAAATTCTCCATAAAGCTTCTTGTGCAGATACTCAACGTGCATCTTGGAATTCTCTTATTTCACTTATTGTCCTACTATCATCATCATGAGATATGTAGATAGCTGCTCTGTCATGACCTTTGTAGATATACTTGTATATGTATTTAACAGCTTTCAAACCAGAACAAATCTCTACATTGATATGACAATTATATCGTAGAAGCAAATACGGACTGGAAGGAACAACCCATCTGTTATTAAGTGTTGCATTTCGGACTTTGACCTATGAATTTGAAATTGAAGAAGTTTGACTATACTAATATTGTAAGTTAAGAAAAACTAATGTTAATAAGAATAATAATTGTATTTACCTTGTTTCCATCATTCATTCTTCTATATATTGGATATACATCATTTCCTTGCATTGTCTTCGAGGAAAATGGTCTTGGATAACGGAATCGACATGTTGTGTTTACTAAGCGAGGACATTCCTTGTTATATTCTTCACACGGTCCATGTAGCATGTGCTTGACAACTACTTCATAAAGAGGCATATTTGTTTCTTTGTCTCGGATTTCTGCTTGCACATATTTGTCATACTGGTCAGCATTTGTGATTTTGTAACCATTTTTCAATATAATTAACACGTGAGCATGTGGAAGTCCTCTTTTTTGAAATTTAATCACTTAAACATAAGCCGCAACTTTGCCAAGAATCTCTTTCTTCAATATTTGATCTTTTAGGTCCATTAGCTTTCCTCTAAAGACCCTTGTAGTGAGATCGAGTCTATCTTGAGGACGTTGACCTTTTTCGAGTTTGTCTTTCATTTCTTTCCATTCAGAATTGCATGTCATTGTTAAAAAAATATCTGGCTTTCCAAAATGTTGAACTAATGCCATAGCATCCAAGTAACGACGTTACATATCTCGTGGACCTCCAATAAATGATGCAGGGAGAATAATTCTCTTTCCAACGTGATCTCCTCTTGTTTCGCCCGCATTTACAGTGTCAACGATTCCTTGATATAATTCTGATCGAATGCGTGATTGTTGTGTCATGTAGAAATCAAGCCTAATAGTTTCAAGCTTTATATACATGTCAACAATATATTGTTGTAGTAGTCGTCCTGCCCAAAGAAGTATCGATTTGCTGAACGATCGAATTTGGAGCTTGTAACAATAATATTCTCGGCAAGATATTTTTTATGCTTGGATTCGGGTAACTCCTGTTGAAAAACACAATAATATATATTAGATCATGGTTATATGAAGTATTTTAGATTAAATAAATGCATTTGTATGCAAAAATAAATTTCACCATGTCGTTCTTTTATGATGATATCCTCTGCAAAATTAAATTGGGAGAAATCGTTGGTGGTTGTAGTTGTACAAATCATTTTGCTGGTTACATTATTTTCAACTCTATTTCTCTTAATGTCTTGGTGCCAACCCGCCTCCCCATTAGGAAATAGCAGAGGATATTGAAGTGAATCGTAACAACTGAAGTAGTGTCGAATATTATGTCGATTTCCAGAATGTGCATGAACAACGATATCCCTGTCAAAATGTATGAGATCTTCATTTCCTTCTATCCATAAGGCAGTCCTTGATCTACAGTCGATGTATTGTATACACGTTGATCGACATTAACATTGCTTGCAACATGTATCTGTATACTGTCAATGCAGGATTGGTCATTTATGGTACAAAAAAATTGAGCATAAGGATTGTGTTGTAGAACTTGCATTAGTTGTTGAACAATGGTTTTATCAAGATCGGTATCTCTTAGTATGTGAATCCTGTTTTCCAATTCATGATCAACATCGTAAAAATACAATTGAAAAAATATAGGTCGTTTTTTTGGTAAAAGAGCTAAAAGATCATGGTATATTTGCCCTTGAGCTCTAAATGTGTACACTCCTTTGTTTGATGTAGCGAGATCTTTATCCAAATTTACACCGAACGCAGTGAAGGAGAATATGCTATTATAACCTCTTAGGTTTTTTTGAAATAAAATCCCTTCACTCGACTGTGAAGTAAACAAATGATACATTTGATTTGATATTTTGTTGTCAGCAAGTTGGACCTAATAAATGTTGATTGGAAAATTTTTAAATAATAAATTATACAAATGCTTGATAATAGAAGGTAGAAAATATATTTGTACCTAACCATTTTGACAACAAAATGCTGAAATTTCATACTCATATTTTGTTGCGCCACAAAAAGTGCATGAACGTATTTTCTTAAGCTCGTGTATTGGAGAACAAAAAGGTACAAATAAATTTATTCCTGTACAAATGGTCCAATAGTAGGACCTTGAATTTGATTCCAATTTTGTTCTTGTTTGATTTCAATGGAAGATGAGATACTGCACTTGTTGCCTATGTCCTGTGTGTATCTCTTCTTTCTTGATTCATTTGTAAGCTGAATTTTTCTGATCCTTTGCTCTTGTGAGAGCCTTGAGTATTTTGTTCTTTTACGTTGGTTATCCATGTGTAAGAACTTATTTCCTGTGACTCGACATCAAGAAAATAAAAGAGTTTAAAGAGTTATTAACTAGAGGACAGTCGAAGATGTAATCAATTAAACAAATAAATGATAAAATATATTTATTCTAGTTTTTTAATACTTCCAATTATTTGCCTACGATTGCCCGTCGAGGAGTCAAAATAATTTTCTTAAAATTATAATATATTTATTCAATGTAAATGTAAAATTAAAATTTTAATAAACAATTAACATTATTATTAAAACTTGTATTTGGATTACAAGGAGGATAAGTGTATATAAAAAAATCTCGAAAATTTTCAATAAAGAATTAATTAATCAACTTTAACAAAGAAGATACATAGAATCTCTGCAGTTTCCCAAATGCTAAATGTATTCACACCACAATTTTAATATGTGTAATAAATTAATAATAAATAAAGATTAATAATCTTTAATATAATTAAAATAGGATGTATTTATTATTTATTTATGGTATAAAATGTGGTTTGAATATAACCATCCTTTTTGGTGCTCGAAAAGAATATAAAAAAATTAATCTTGAAAGAATTAGAACTGTAAAGCTAAATTACACTCTTCATTCAAATTATGTAATACATGTAGATACTCATTTTCGTTAACAATTATACCAAAATGAAGTCGAGAAGGAAAAAAAGACGATTAAACTAAGCAAGTTGATGTAATTATCAATAGAAATGCACAAGAAAACCAAATTATACTCACTGAATATTAATTAAGGTTAAAAAAAGGCTATTTCAAATTAAACAATTAAATAACTAATATTTATTTAGACTAAACAAAAAAAAAAAGAAGAATTAAAAAATTGAAAAATAGTCAACTGATAGTTTAAAATGAATGAATCAAATAAATAAGAGCTTACTTGGACTTAGAGAGCAGAGTTGATGCCATGAAGAATTTGGTAGATTTGAGGCTGGCCATTTGTGGAAGAGCAGAAGTTGAAAAAATGAATACTTTCGTGCTTCAAAATTTAAGGAATCACAATTTTTGGGTTTAATTTGTTTATAGGTTTTGTTTCCTCCATAATACCACCTGCAAAATATGTGTTCGTCTGTGCGAGAGAGAGATGTTGGGGTGAGAATTTAAATGAGCAAATACTAACCAGAACCTAAATGGAAATGAATGTTAATTGAGATACATGCACATAAATACTAATTATAATTATTTTAGTATTAATGACAATGAATACATACATGAAGATGAATGTAATTCATTTATACTTAATTAATATAAATTAATGTCCAATGAAGTGATTCAAATTCTTTGATTGGATCGTACTTAAATGGTGTGTACATGAACTGACATATGAGATGTTGGGGTGAGAATTTAAATGAGCAAATATGAACTAGAGCCTAAATGGAAATGAATGTTAATTGAGATACATGCACTTAAATACTAATTATAATTATTTTAGTATTAATGACAATGAATACATACATGAAGATGAATGTAATTCATTTATACTTAATGAATATAAATTAATGTATGATGAAGTGATTCAAATTCTCTGAATGGATCGTACTTAAATGGTGTGTGCATGAACTGACATATGGGTACATGAATTGAAGTTTTTATTTCTTCCAATGTTTGTGAATTTGCGTTAGATATTTGGTTATGAAAATGAGAAATTGATGCTATTGTATGTTAGATTTTTAATTGCACCTATATTCAATGTATAATTATGTGCATGCGTGCATTTAGGTTAATATTTAGAGTAATGATATTTATAGATGATTAAGTGTGATAATTTTACAGAATTGAGGATGAATTTGCTGATAGGCGTGGGTGAACGTTCTCTTTCATTTTTATTTTCATTCTTCAAATATAACATTTTTCAGTTTAAACCTTAAAAACATTAGAGAATTCCTAGATTAATATTCTTTCCCCCATGGCCTATAGGAGACAGATTTTCTCAAATGAATGTTAATCACGTATATCTAATCAGTTGCCTTACGGTTCCCAAGGAAGAAAAAATAAGAGGAGCCAAATGGGAACTGATCACTTCTTTGAAAAATAAGAACCTGATTTCAGATGATTTAGACTGGATGGAAATTGGTATTTTTGCTTTGTGGGATTAATTAATTGGGTGGGGATATGGATTTTTAGTCGAATTCTTAATTATAGAGGTAAATAAGGGTAAATGCAAGAGTTTAATATATAGCATGTGTGTCCAGTTTCTTTTGTAATAATAATTGTGAAGATGAATATATTAATTAAAATGCTTATTAACTTTCAAGATTAGTCACTAATGTGAGATCTAAAATAAATCTCAAAGTATTGTTCATTTATTTTTATTTTTTTCCCACGATTTTAACGATATGGCAAATTTGTTTGAAATATAACATAAATTTTCTCATATTAATTTATAACTTCATTAAATTATAAATGATAAAATAATAGGTGTGTTTCGCGTCGATATTTTGAATAACAATAATATGTCTCTTAGATGATAAAATAGTAGATGTGTTTGAGACGATGTTTCGAACAAAAATACTAATATGTGTTTCTCTAATGTAAAGTAATATTTAATTTTCTATTTTTAGTTTCTTGCTTGGGTGGATTCCTTCATTTGCATCCACCTTGTAAACTTCTTCGACAATCAATTTCTTCCGCGATCTTTCTTCTCTTTTCTTCACATCGATCTTCACCAGTTCCTTTATCTTCTGATGACATTAGCTTCTTGTAATATTTACACAGTTCCTTTTTATTGGTCTAAGAAGAAAACACCAATATATGTTTTTACAAAGATGAGTTAGTCACCTAATTTTAGTTAGAAGCAATATAATAGATTGAAAACACAAAATCTAAATTATATTTCTACCTTTAAAAGAGCCTCAGCATATTCAACCACAGTACATCCTATAAAAGATTCGATAGCATCAAAGATTGTGACGTAAACTTCTTGATAACCATCTAAAACTATTAACCTCAACAAATACTTTCTAGTAAAAGCTATGTCCTTAGTTTCACATCTTGTACATGTGACAGTTTTTTTTATCCTCCTCTGGGTAAACTCTTGCACCACACCCATTACATGTTTCATACCATGGATTGTTCTTGTTTTGAACGTTTATAATCTTGCCTATAAAAGCACAATACAATTTAGTTACACTATTTGTAATAATATCATCTAATTGTACGATACCAGCAACCATCATCCTCTTTGTAGGTCCCAATAGTTTGTAGAATCCTCCACCACATAGTAGTTTTTTAGTGCTAAAAAAATGACAAATTAAATAATCTTTCAGCTATATGAAAATCTGTTTAGACATAGTAATAATGTAAATATAATCATTATGACTAAATAAACCATGCTCACCTATTTT